TGGAGGTTTTGTCCACCGAGTGGAAGAACTGGAGAGGCAGTGGGAAATGTGCTCCACGAGCTTGCACTTCTACAGCTTTCTCAGGAGCGTGAGTGGGGGAACAGAGAAGCAGACGACATCAAATAGTACAGGGAAAGCAGCCACACAGATAAAGAGCTGACACGTTACAAGCTCTCCCTCGTAGATCCGTTATCCTTTCCACATAAAAATACTACATACATAATTCGTAGCGCTCACGGCTCTTGTCGCACGAAACACGAATTTCCCACCATGTAACGAACCCCGCAGATTAAACTGTCCATATTCTTCCCTCATGGATTGCTCAGTGGTATACCGTACGGCTTTTTTGCTTGCATCTCCCATGCCTTTCATATTTTAAGCATGATGTCCACCTCAATTCGTTCTTCTGCTCTTTCTTTACTCGTCCTCATGCCGTATCATCTAAAATTTTTATTTCCTTTGATACCGTCGATCGATGGCAAGTAGATGGGAATGCCGAAAATTTCTTCGCCTTCCCCTCCATGCCTTGACGCATGGTTGGTAACCACTGGGGACGCTCGGATTGACATGTCCCATTATGCGGGGATTGCCTCACAAAGGGAGTACGGACCCCGTGTAGAGACAATGGGTGATTGAGCGTTGTATGTAATGCCCTCGGGGGTGAATAAGAATGACTGAAAAAAGTCTCAAAAAAGCTAGAAACAAAACTTGTATAGGGAATGTATGAAGGAGATCTGTAGCTGTTGTTTCTGTTTCCTTTCAATTTGTTGGTGCGTACGACGATTGTAAACGGGGCGGGTGCAACATCATATACAGTATCCAGCGGCTTTTACTGTCCTACCCGTTCATTCCAAGACAAGAGACAAAAACGCGAAGGGGAGAAATGTAACTATACATATCTCCGTACGTGAGGAAATAGGGGAATGGAATTGAGGATTTGAAGTTGTCCCTGTGTACATGTACGTATGTCTCGGTCTAGAATTTGTATGAATACTTCAGATTAGTGTCGGTGTTCCTGTGGCTTGAAATCCAACTTCCGAAGAAACCGGCTGTTTGCACTGTTGGCTAGATAACGGGGGTTTGGGAAAGGAAGCGTACAGCGTTTGCTCCATACTGACATCTCTGTTGTAAGCTGAAATGGTTATGTTGTTTCCTGCTTCCCTAGGTGCTGACATGCCACATGGTTTATCAAAGGGAATGGCCCTGTTGAATTAGTTCATGTGCGTTGTCTATTCTGATTCCGAAGCCGTAAGCCAGATTTTCTGAGAGCTGCGCGTACCGAACACAAATAAAAGCAGATGAACGGGTTTCCACTATTCTTGTAGGTAATTAAAGGACCCTGTTAATAATTGAAATATGGTCCAGGGGTGTTGATTTTATGTCGACTCCATTTCTTCCCAATTCGAGAAGATTGCGGCCATCAGATGAGAAACCTATCGTATATCTAAGGTATTAAGCTATTGACTTTTATTATCGCAGGCTCGAATGCCTCTGGGAGCAGCGACTATCCATCTAGTTTAAGGAAGAGTATGCAGGAGTCCATATTAATACTGACCAAACAAAAGGTAGCAAAGAATGGCAGGGGCGTAAGGTGGGAATGCATTTGTGCTGGACGTGGGGGCATGAAAATGTGAGGCACATTGAGGAACTAAATTCCACGGATAAAAAGAATAAAAGTAAACAAAAAAAGGCAAATGAGTATCAAAACTTTGACAACGGCAAATCGATGCACACAGTTATACATACTCGCGCCATGCTTTTTTCTAACAGGGTCAACCGGATCGCCAAACGCCAACAAACGTTTCCTGACAAAGAGGAAAAAATAAATGAAATAAAACAGAATGGAGTTAGTTGAAGAGGGATAGAAAGCTTAGCTGCTACTGTCACGAATGCCCTCATCGCGGGTATTTTGACCCTCCTCCAGCCAACAACTGCTTTGCCATTTTCCCGCTTACAAGGTGCTCTCTTACTCGGCTTCTTTCCACCTTCAGCCAATTAATTGAGTAGCAATCAGTCACTCGTAAGCGGGCAGGCAAATAGAAAAGTAGACCAAAACCAGAACAAGAAAGGGCCAAAGAAAGAAAAAGCGAAAACACACACACACACACACATACACACAAAAGGGTACTAAACCGATAGAAACTGTCGAATTTCTTCATGAACTCCCGGCACTCTCCAGCGCCGCCACTAGGGATTCCATAAGTTCCTTGAGCGAGCGGCGCTTGCACTTCTCTATCGTCTGCAAGCAATCCCCGCAGATCCGCAGACAACAGAACGAACATCGCCAACGGATCAATTGGTCGTCATTTAGACATGTCATGCATGGAACGGGGTAGACGACGTTGTTTGAAGGCGCTAAGTACCGGTGTGATTGGTAGCAGGAGAAGTGGACTTTGGTGAGGGGAGGGATGAGGTTTTTCTTCATCCGCAGCTGCTTTGAGGGGCGTGGTATGTTGTTGTCTTTGGAGGGCGACTCAAGTACGATTGGTTTTACGATAGGGTTCGCGTATTGGTTTTCGGTTTTGATTGTGGGCTCAGTAACCTGTGTGCTAGTACTGCTGTTGCTACTGCTATTGATGCTGGTTGCGCTGGCATTACTGCTGGCATCGCTTGCAACTAGGGGCGGGGAAGAGGGTTTCTTGAAGCCGTTCATCTCGTTTGGTCTGTTTTTGGACGGCTCTTGCGGATAGTGAGGCAGTGGCTTTGGAGATCCTGACGGAGACAGTGTAATACTTCGAGACGATAAGTCCGTAGGAATTGATGGTGGGGTGAAACTCCTTGATTTCCTGATAATCATAGATTGGACGTGAGGATGCGGATTGTACTGAGATTTAGGAGGAGCGTATGGGTTCTCCAATCGTGTGCGTGGCTTGTCAGGGCGTCTAACAGGGAGGGAATCGGCGAATCTGATATTGGTCGTCTGTGCTGATCTAGTTCGTGATGGATACTTTCCTTCTGATGCGGAGAGTTGGACTGTGACAATCGAGAGTTCAGAAGGGTCCATTCCAGCCGTTATCGAGCGTCTGTATCTGCGCGAAAGCAGTGCTTCGCTCGAGGAAAGCTTTAGGTCATGGCGAGCAAGCCGATCGTCAATGCGCTGCATCACTGGACTGCGCTTTGTTCACTTTCTATTCTGCTTTGGCTTACCAGGTTCAAATTGATCTTGATCCTTCGATCTAAGTTGAAGGAAGGTATGATCAAAGAGTTTTTTAACTAGATTGAAAGGATCGAAGGAGCGTCGCTCGCGGTATCACAGAGACTATAACACTCTACATTGAGAGCACCTCTTGAGTACATGATGTGTCGGAAAACAGACCGTGGTGGTGAATGCTATGGTGAATCTGTACTCTGTTCCACAAAATTAATGATCAATAGCTCACATATTTCTTGAGCACAAAACTCCACAAGGGCAGTCCCAGTCTGAATTTGTCGTCCCTTTTGGTACTTATAAGCAAATATGGGATCGAATCGAAAATTATTTAGGTTTGTGCCCAGGCCTGATCGATCTGACACTAATCCTTGCAGCGCTGCAAGGATATGCAACTGACGGGGCAGAATGACAAATGAAGTTGGCGTAGATTTAAACAGCCATAATGTCCAATTGACCAACTATCACTTGGGTCTAGGGGTGCCAGCGCTGTGGTCCGTTATTGGTAGGGATGCATTAGTACGTGATATGCTGAACGATATAGTCGGAGAATGGCTTTTTTGGATTCCACATTTCGCCACCTGAGACGAGCCTGAGAATGCGAGTTGGGAGCGTCAAGCCTCTGGAGGATATGAGGAGAAAACAAGTCAGTTCCATTAGCTCCGACGCCATTGGGAGGAACATAGGCGCCAAACCGACTTGACACTTCTTCACTGGCATTGAAATGGATCAGGATTCGTTCAAATATCCATCGGCTTGAACATGGGCGAGTTATAAAATTCATTTGATCGGATCATGGTTGTTGCCCTTTGAGTCTTTGCCAAGCGGAGTTGCACTTTGTAAGTGGTATATCGGTGGTCGTGGTGCTCAGGCATCGGCCATGCAAGAATTAGCGGGAACGGAAAAAGAAAAGAAAGCGTCAACGTGTGGCAAGTGGTAAAACCAACCAAACCCAGTGCGTACAGATCTGTACGGTGCATGTACCTGGTAACCTGGGGTATTCAGAACAAAAATCCTGAGAGCTGTCTTCCACTAGTCTGCCAGCTGGGGACCGAGGCTGAGATACGAAGGGGAAAATGGGGCCATGGTACTCCAGAGTGGCAGCAATTCGCTGGTAACGATCTTTTGAAATCCTGCAATCTTACGTGGACCAACAAGCGGAAACCTTCAGATAAAAATACTCTGTCACTCCACCGCCAATTGCTAGGGACATTCCCCTAGCGCGTTGCTCACCACAAATTTGGCGAGTTTTCGATTTCCAACGGTGTCATTGTGGCAGCCCAAGCTCGTAAAAGCAGGTGATGTGCCAAATTCGCTTTATCTTGACCTGTTCCAAGCGAAAATCGCATCTTGAGCAACACCGTATCGTGGGAACTAAAAATCGCAATCCCGGCTGGCGGATTTAACACGTTCTTGACTGCATGGAAGCACAAATATTTCAGGCAAGGCTGAGTGATATATCTGGGCGAAATTCGCCGTTTTGAATAGTCGAAGGGCATTATTGAAACTAATCGGTTGCACCCTTGCACATATCGTATTTAGCCACCAGTTGTTGTCGTTGGCTGCATAAAAATGGCATTGGCAATCAAAATCAAGGAGCTGGGAGGAAGGGAGAGAAATAGCTGACACAGCACCCATTTTTCCCAATTGATCTAAATGTAAAGAAACCGACACCGGAGACGTTCACCATGTCGCGTTCTGAGAGGGAGAAGTTGGTTCAATCGCCTGCGAGATGTGAGATGCTTATTGATGTAGTGAGGGCTTGTCACTCGCGCCAAGATGAAAATCCGCTGGGATTCTGGAAAAGGCAAAAGCACAACAAACCATCAGCCTCCAACCCTGTTTCTCATAGGTTCACATCTCATTGTGATACAAGGCTTGAATGTGATGGGTAGACTCATATATATGTTTCGGGTGTGCATATTTTAGTTATAAACACCATCGTTTTTGAGCACATATTATATATACATTTCTGATATGGTGCGAGACCAAAAACTCGCGGAGGCAACCGGACCGCCGCAATTCGCAAAGCCAATCCTCCAGTACACGAAAACACGCCAGGAGGCCGTACGTATTCGACAGGCTTTGACCCTCTATGTGAAGACCCATATCGAATTTGCGGGCGATTCTCCAGGGTTTCACATCAGCCTCTGCGCTCCACATAATGCTACCAACGTGAAGCGAATTCCACCGGAATTAAACAATGGACTTCGCGCTCAGTATCTCAAGGCCTTGCAAGCTAACCTAACTGCGAAGAGAGAGTACAATGATGTGCTTCGGGAGATATTGTCTCACAAACAAGATATACACTCTTGCGCATCTGCTGGTGGCGGTGAGAGACTAGAGACAAAGGGCGCTGAATTGCAGACATACTTGGGACTTCTACGAAGCCGACGAGAACATGGGAAAATACAGATTTTTCAACACTACTTGGAGGAGCTGAACAAAATGGAAGCCGGGCAAGCTGGGTACCTTGAACTTGCCAAGGAGCAAGCGATCTCTCGCCAGGCTGCTCAAAACTTGATAGCCCATTCTAACCCAACCTCGGGGAGTTCAGGTGACAACAGATCAGATTCGGAAACCCTGCTTACCAACTTGGAAAAAGCGGTACTCCGTGCGAAGCAACAAGCGGATATTGAGAAGAGTCTCCTTGAGAAGTTGAACAGCCAACGCCTAGCTGATGGTGAGAAAACAGTTCCGACAAGAAAAAAGCTAGGAGCGCTGAGACGTACGCATGCGGAATTGGTACGTTGGGTAGAAGAGAAACTAGTTATCTCTTCGTCAATCGATGAGCGAGACCCTATTGAGGACCAAGCTGCGATTGATGCGTCAGACGCCGAGAATGTTCATGTTTTGGAAGAGACTAAATCCTTGATCCAACAGCAATACGCTTCCTACGTTAACGCTCGAAAATCCTTAATATCAGCTGTATCTACAGCGTCTCAACATTTCCCGGCTGGGCTCCAAACACCACAACGCCGATGTCAGCCTCAGGGGAAACAACAGAGTGCATCCACTCCGGACCTTGCTTTACTATTCCCATATGTGTCGGAGCATTTGCTGCCCTTGTCAAAAGCCCAGAAAGCACCTTCTACGCAAAAGGCCTATTTATCTGCCCTTCTTGCTAAAGAGAAGTGGACTACGTGTCGGATGTTCGATCGTCTGCAGGAAGAAAGCCATCTGCTTCCGGAGTACCCCATTCTTGCGAGACAACCGCGATTTAGACATGCAGTTGCCGCGATAAACAGTCGCTCAACTTCTCTCGCCAGCCCAACAAGCCCAAGTGACACTTCGGAGATCGTCGCCCGTGCAGAGGCCTGGTCATTTGCTGCCAGGGAAGCACGGGATGCTACGAATGGATGTGTAGAAGATAGGGTGAATTTCGGGACAGAATTGGCCCGAAAGGCAGAGGATATGTTGAAGGAAATGTATGAGCTTATGAACCAGGACTACGAGGAGGCAACGGCTGGCAAGGAGGAAAAGAAAGAGGATGATGGAGATATCTGGGCCTCGGAAAGCCGATTTTCTCGGGGTAGAGGAGGACGCCATTGTCGATCAGAGAATATGCCAAAAGGCCCATGGTCCGGTTTGAATGGGAAAGTTGGAGTCATTGGCGATGGATGAAATATGACGGGTGGGATACATAGAGATGATAATTTATGAATCACGAAAATTGATCGATAGCAATGAGCGCCGTGTCACAGAGAAATCTGGATCTAAGGTTTTTTTTCCATCGTTTTGGGGATAGGTCCTGGATCCTAGCTTTAAGCTATGTATTGAGGTAGATGTTCGAAATGAGAAGATAATTCAATCAACAACTGCAATTTACACGCAAGAAATGACGATATAACTAGCTGGAATCCGACCTGGCACTCCGTTTTACTATGATCAATATGTATATGCATATATGTTTGACAATTCCAGTTGTTCTTGGGCTACGCCGAGCTCCCCTCGGTGGAATCCAGTAACGAATGAGTCACGGCGCTAAAAGTCCGCCCAAACAAAGACTTTCCCGCCAAACAAAAAAAAAAAAAAAAAAAAAAAGTTCGAAAACCTCGAAAATTGAAAAATAACCGATTGCCTCTCTTCAATTCCCTCTCCACTACACTCTCCTTAAAACTCATTTAATTCCGCACTCCTTGCCTTACTTCCCTAGTTTACTAACAAACCTTCCGCATTCTCAGTCCCCCTGCGCTACGCGCAGCGCTCTCAATGACGTTCCCAGCCCGATGCGGGCAGCGGACCGTCTCCTCCTTGCTCCGACAACGATGCTTGTCCCCTGAAGTCGTCCCGTCATCTCTCCGCACATTTTCCACCGCTCAGACTCTCCCTTCTTCAAAAAAACCCCTATACTCCCGGCCAGCCTCTTTGAAACAATCGCAACAGCTCCCCGCATGGCGAGGCTCCACGAGGGCGTTTTCGAACTCTTTGAAGAAGCTGGCTGCGGTTACGGGCCAGGAAGCTCCGAGCGCAAAGGCTTATTTGGCAAGCGGAGCCATTCAGGGCTCGGGCCAACTAGTTGATGTGAAAAAAGTCCTGGTGATTGGGAGTGGTGGATTGAGCATTGGACAGGCAGGTGAATTTGACTATTCTGGTATGTACTTTTGTTTTTGATGTAGTGCGGAGCGCATCGGCCATGAATGCGTGTTCATCCAGTCACCCCTCCACAGGATAATGTGTGCACAAGACAATTGAGCTTTTTCAATGGTTCTGGGAACGGATTTTATGGGCTGTATTCCGCGAACTCGATACAGTTTGAGTGGGCGTTGCAATATTGGGGGAGGATTGAGGTTTCAATTGACCCATACAGCTAACAATTTTACTTTTTTATTATTGTCTTTGAACAGGCTCTCAAGCACTCAAAGCCCTCAAAGAGGCTGGTGTTGAATCCGTCCTGATTAACCCTAACATTGCCACAATTCAAACGGACCACAAGCTCGCGGATGAGGTGTACTATCTCCCGGTTACACCAGAATATGTTACCCACGTTATTGAAAGAGAGCAGCCAGACGGAATATTCTTGACTTTTGGAGGCCAAACAGCTCTTAATCTGGGCGTCCAGATGAACCGCATGGGTGTCTTTGATCGTTATGGAGTCAAAGTCCTTGGAACCAGCATTCGGACTCTGGAAGTCAGCGAAGACCGTGACCTTTTCGCCAAGGCATTGAACGAAATTAGCATCCCAATTGCGGAATCAGTTGCTGTCAACAGCGTTGATGAGGCGTTGGAGGCTGCTGAGAAGATCGGCTATCCCATTATCGTTCGGTCAGCGTATGCGCTTGGTGGACTTGGATCAGGATTTGCGAATAATGCTGAAGAGCTCAAGAACCTGTCATCCCGCTCGTTGACTTTGGCACCACAGATTCTGGTAGAAAAGTCTCTCAAGGGCTGGAAGGAAGTTGAATATGAGGTGGTCCGTGATGCTGCTAATAACTGCATCACGGTTTGTAATATGGAGAACTTTGACCCTCTGGGAATCCATACTGGAGACAGTATCGTTGTTGCACCAAGCCAAACTCTTTCCGATGAAGAGTACCACATGCTCCGGACAGCTGCCATTAAGATCGTTCGCCACCTGGGAGTTGTTGGGGAGTGCAACGTCCAGTATGCGCTCCAGCCTGATGGGCTTGATTATAGAGTCATTGAGGTCAACGCCCGTCTATCCCGTTCGTCAGCTCTGGCTTCTAAGGCAACTGGATATCCTCTCGCTTATACAGCAGCCAAAATTGGACTTGGTCATACACTACCTGAACTTCCTAATGCGGTGACAAAGACTACGACCGCTAATTTTGAACCTAGTTTGGATTATATTGTAACTAAGATCCCCAGATGGGATCTGAGTAAATTCCAACATGTGAAGCGCGACATTGGCAGCTCCATGAAATCCGTTGGAGAAGTCATGGCAATTGGTCGTACCTTTGAGGAATCCTTCCAGAAGGCTATCCGCCAAATTGATCCCAAGTATGTTGGCTTCCAGGGCGACAAGTTCGAAGATCTCGATGACGTCCTCAAGAGCCCTACTGATCGTCGATGGCTTGCTGTCGGACAGGCGATGCTTCATGAGAATTATTCTGTTGACAAGGTGCACGAACTGACCAAGATCGATAAGTGGTTCTTATACAAGCTACAAAATATCGTCTCTCTACAAAACACGCTTAAGGAAATTGGCAGCCTGTTTGGAATCCAGAAGGATATGATGCTTAAGGCGAAGAAGATGGGCTTCTCTGATAAGCAAATCGCCTTGTGTGTCGGCTCTACTGAGGATGATGTTCGTGCAAGGAGAAAAAGCTTCGGTATCAGGCCCTGGGTTAAAAAGATTGACACCCTTGCCGCTGAGTTCCCGGCCGATACCAACTATCTTTACACCACCTATAATGCTACATCGCATGATGTTACTTTCGATGATCATGGAACCATAATCTTGGGAAGTGGTGTGTACCGTATTGGAAGCTCCGTGGAATTCGATTGGTGCGCGGTTAACGCAGCCCTTTCCTTGAGAAACATGGGCAAGAAGACTGTTATGATCAATGTACGTACAATAATTTCCACCCTCCCCCCAATCAAACCCTTCCCCCGAAACCATCCCAACCCCTCAGTCACGCTATCCCTTACCAATCCCATCCTGTCTTGATGCTCTCTTCGGGCTCATTATCGTCTTCATTCCTTCTCGTGGAGACTATTTAATCACTATGTCGCCTTTTGTATTTTCTGCGGGAACCATTTTCCAGCTCGTCATGCTGGTTGCCTGGAAAGGCCAGAGTGATACCTCTGCAAACCGGAGTATCATAAAACATATGTTTAAAGAATCTTATCAAAAAAAATGCTAACAATTGTTAAAAAGTTCAACCCGGAAACCTATTCCACTGATTTCGACACTGCTGATAAACTCTACTTCGAAGAACTCAGCTACGAGCGTGTCATGGACATTTATGAGCTCGAAAACGCTAGTGGAGTCGTTGTATCAGTCGGCGGTCAATTACCTCAGAACATTGCCCTGCGACTCCAGGAGACTGGCGGTGCTAAGGTCCTTGGTACAGACCCCAAGGATATCGACAAGGCTGAAGATCGTCACAAGTTCTCCCAGATCCTCGACAGCATCGGCGTGGACCAGCCAGCGTGGAAAGAGTTAAGTTCAGTTGCTGAAGCTGAGGTTTTTGCTGACTCTGTTGGCTACCCTGTACTCGTCCGTCCCAGTTATGTCCTCTCCGGAGCTGCAATGAGCGTCATCCACAGCCGTGATGAGCTGAAAGACAAGCTTCTCTCTGCCAGCGCAGTCTCTCCAGACCATCCTGTTGTTATCACCAAATTCATTGAGGGTGCACAAGAAATCGATGTTGACGCAGTCGCGTCTGCTGGTAAGCTTATTGTTCACGCTGTAAGTGAACACGTGGAAGCTGCAGGGGTTCACTCTGGCGATGCGACTTTGGTCCTCCCTCCTGTGAACCTCGAAGCACCCATAATGGCCCGTGTAAAAGAAATCGCAGAGAAAGTTGCGAAAGCCTGGAGTATTACCGGCCCCTTCAACATGCAGATTATCAAAGCTGAAAATCCGGAGGGTGGTGAGCCATTTCTCAAGGTTATCGAATGCAACCTCCGTGCTTCGCGGTCTTTCCCTTTCGTCAGCAAGGTTTTGGGCACCAACTTTATCGACGTTGCAACGAAGGCGCTCGTCGGCAGAGACATTCCAGAACCCACAGATCTTATGGAAGTCAAGCGTGATTATCTCGCTACCAAGGTCCCCCAATTCAGTTGGACACGTCTAGCTGGTGCTGATCCATACCTTGGAGTTGAGATGGCTAGTACAGGTGAAATCGCCTGTTTCGGCAAAGATCTGGTCGAGGCCTACTGGGCCTCGTTACAATCCACAATGAACTTCCGCATGCCTGAACCAGGTGAGGGCCTCCTATTCGGTGGTGACTCAGAAATGACAGAACTACCGAAGATTGTCGATTATTTGAGTCCTCTGGGATACAAGTTGTTCGCAGCCAGCTCAGATGTCAAGGAACACCTAGAATCCGCTACGAAGGGTGACATTAATATTGAAGTCATTGAGTTCCCTAAAGAAGACAAACGGGCCCTGCGAGAAGTGTTCAAGAAGTACGATATCAGAGGCGTGTTCAACATTGCTAAGAGCCGCGGAAAGACTCTGCTTGATGAGGACTATGTTATGCGACGAAATGCTGTCGATTTCGGCGTGACCCTTTTCATGGAGCCAAAGGTATGTTAAACAACAGTTGACATATAAATTCTCTACATGTTTGGAGCTTTCTTTTCTTTTCTTTTCTTTTTTTTCATTTGAAATGTTCTCACTGACCCAAATTACCATACAGACTGCCCTTCTCTTCGCACAATGCATGAGTGAAAAGCTTCCACGAAAAGAAGGAATCCCGTCCGAAGTGCGAAGCTGGTCTAACTTTGTCGGCGGCAAGCTCTTGTAGATCACACTACTTTTAACGCTTCACTTTATTTCGTTCACTTAAAATTCCTAAAATTCCGCACGTGGACGGACCGAATCTACTCATGCTTGCCTCTGGAGATTTTCCTATTCTGAAACTCAACCTTCCCCTTCACTCGATCTTGTTCTCATATGACATAGACAAACATGATCTCACAGCCTTTTTACCATTTTCCATTTTCTTTTTTTTTTATCCATTTTTTTTTTTTTTTTTTTTTTTTCCCCGTTTTTGCCTTGCCCGCTTTTTTTTTTAAATTTATTGTTTTCGGAGTGTTGCGCTGTCGTCATACAGCACAGCTATACCGATCGATTTATTTTTGTTTCACCCTCGTCTGTGTGTTTCAGTGCCAATTATCATACGTTAACTATTCCATGCGCGTTTACCAGTCAACGATGGAGCCACCCTGTTTTGCAAGGCACAGCATCAGTCTGTATTTCTTTAATTTGTTTTTCCATTTTCCTATGAACTGTTTTATTGCTAGATTCGCATAGACAAAAGTTCCATTGCGAATCCCCTGAATTACATGCACGCTTGAAGTGAATTCCCACTATCAAGGTTGAAAGCAATGTAGGTTCATTTGGTGCGTGGCGGGTGGCCTGCAGCCAATATTTATCATCGAAAAGCCATCCAATCTAATGCTTCCTCGTAGTTAAAAAGGAGACAATAGTACGTAGATGGGCAGGAAAGTTCACTTGAATACTATCCTCCCTTCCTTTGATGAATATATTGAGCTCGTAATTTGTTTCAAGCAGGTCAAATAAGGTTAACAGTTAGCGCCTCATTAACGCCAGATTCTTAAGCGCCATCGCCAAACGCGGGTAAGCGAAGCTTGCCCAACGTCCTTGTAGCTCATATAGGGGCGTGACTACGGAGTACTAAGGGAAGAAAAGGGAGGAAGCGCGGAAAAAAGAAATGAAGGCAGGGTAATAGGAGACAACCCGTTGCCATCATTTCTCAAGCCCAGCATGGTCAGCACAGGTAGAATTGCCTGCAAGGAGCCGCGAGCAGAGTCCAGACAAACTCCAGACAAGGGGCTAGGGCTATTCGCAACATCCCAGATACGGCCCAAGGACAACATCTTCGCAATTACCGCCAACTTCGCCACTGTCTTGGATACTGCAAGACTGCATGATACGTGCTCAAATTGCTTCGTCACGGTAGGTGACGAGTTAAATCCTGACTTGTCATTGAAAGCGTGTGCTGGCTGTCATGTTGTTAAATATTGCGGAAGGGTAAGTTTGGGTGAGTCCTTTTCTATTTGCTTTCCTTTGTAAAGTGTTTGTCCTGTTCAAGTGTTAATACCACTTCCGCATGTCTATTCTTTTTCAGAAATGTCAAATCGAAAGCTGGGCTGCATCGCACAAGAAAGAATGCAAGATATATAAAGAGTGTCAGCCAAGGATTCTGCCAATGAATGCAAGGGCTATTCTTAGAATAATTTCTCAGCCGGACAATAAGGTCTTGAAAGAAATATATGATACCCATCGTGCAGTGTTTCGAACGCTTGGACACCACTTTTCCAAGATGGACGAGAGGGGTGGCGAGCAGGCCCGTAGGATTACTGTTAGCGCAGAAGCATTGAAGGCAATTTCTAACACGGAGGTTGAATTATCCACCCTTGTGGTCTATTTTGCAAAGGTAGAGCCATGTTTTCCTTGCTTCCTTTCACCAGAGGTTCTAGAATGGTTAACAAGAAGTATAGTTGGAAACCAATGCTTTTATCTTAACAAACCAATATTTTGATCGAATCGGATTGTGCTTGCTTCCATTTTGCGGCCTACATCATCACAGTTGCGAGCCAAACGCGTATATTGGAATCGACGGATAGTGATGTATTTGAAGGCGTTGCAGGATATTGCTCCAGATGAGGAAATATTCATCTCCTATACTGATAATACCGAGCCGCTCAAAAAACGCCAAACTGAACTCCAACTACGGTATTTCTTCGAGTGCAAGTGTCCTAAATGTCTAAAAGGAACTTCAGCGCGTGAAGACCAGTTTCTCACGCCAGGGGGACCTTCTTGTCCCTCCCAAGAGAAGGAGGCACGTGAACTTCTCGCAAAGAGTAAGACACAGGGCGAAACAGTGAGAACCTCAGTTCAAAGAATAGAAGAAGCATTTGGCCTGTTGCACGCTACTAAATGTTGGCCTATAACTCGCCAACCCCTCCCACAACTTCTTGATGAATTTATCGTGAATCTACTGGAGGCTAATTGCTACAAATCCGCGTTCCTGGCTGCTGTTATCCGGTATCTCCATATCGACCCCGTCTTATATCCTAGCCGACTGCACCCTATCCGCAAACGGAATACATGGGCCCTCGCAAAGCTTCTCCGGTGCATCAATCAATCCCAAGATCGCGATGCAAGCCCTCCAACTCCGCATCTTGACCAGCTCCAGCCCGACTTTGCATGGATTTGGTACGCTTTGCTCCATGAACTTGTGGAGACATACGATGATACACAAGGTCTTCAGCTTTTGTTGAACGCAGAGTATCAGTCGATTTGCGACGACATGATGCACTATGGGGTCGACTTTAACACAGCCGACGGACGCCGAAAAAACAAGATGGCAATTACGAGCGCATTGCAAAACTTGAGACAAGTAGCGGACGAGGAGCTGCCAAGGTTAAATAACAATGGTTGGAAAGTAATTGGAACTTATTTAAGTGACGCAGAATAATTATCTTCTCTGAACAACAAAGATACCCATTCTCAATAACCTATATTCCTGTAATCGTCTCACGTTGATCTTAAAATTAATAGTTAATTCGGATTAAAAACACGCTTCGCTATGCAAAAGAATCCGCTTAAAGAAAACAGGCTTAAAGAAAACAGCACTAAAAATAGAGGAAGGGCGAAAAATCCGGCAAAAACAATTTCTAAAGAAAAGCAATTAAAAAGGACTTAAAGCCATAGAAAACAGAACAAGAAGAAAAAGAGAGAAAAGTGAAAGGAAATCATGGGTCGAGTGATCCCAAGCAATTATAGGGACCCCAGTCCAGGTGGTTTAACCGTCCTCTTCTGTAGAAACTGCGAAATCTGGAGCCAGACAAATACCGTGTGGACCAAGTGCGCCCATCCAAATCCAGAAATCCGTTTGGGTCTGACAAATTTAACAGCGATAAAAAATAAAATTAAAGAAACCTTTGTCCGTGATCGATTCTCGAGCTTCAAATGCAGTATATTATGTTAGCGCCGAAACTTCTTAGAAAGAGCATCAAGCTTTTTCTTCCGTTCCATTTTCTCTCTCTTGGCCGCCAGTTCAGCCAGCCGCTCTTTCTCATCCTCAAGTTTGGCTGCTCTGAGGGCACGTTGTTCTTCCTCTTCAACGTCCATCAAGCCAGCTTCCATGTCCGCTGATTCGTCAGAATAATAGCCTCCATCATCGTAATCATCGCAAAAGTCACCTTCATCTTCTTCGTCCGTAGCCAAGTATTCATCGCGTACGGGTGCACGAGAACTCTTCTTCATACTCCGACCATGGCTAGATGCATGACGGCTGGGGAGGCCTGCCGTGCCTTTGTACGCCGAAGCAGAGGGGGTAGAAGGCGGTCGGGCAGTTCCTTTATATTCAGATTCTCCGCGGCTTTTCAACAAAGCAGCCCTTCCCGCATTTGATTTGGTTATCTGCTGTCCATTAGCATTGGCCGCCTTGGTTGGTGTAGTCGTTCCGCCCTTTTTATTCTTTTCCTCCTCAGGGCCTTTTCCCTTCGCTTCCATTGCCTTTCGTTTCTGCTGAAGTTGCTTTTCTTTAGCAATAGAGTGATGTTTAATCATTCCAAGCTGCATAGGAGCTTTCTCCTGGAGGGCTTTGGCTCGAAGCATCATCTCTGCGTAAGATCCCTTAGGTGGTGGCTTAGTTGGGGAAAGGGCAGATGGCGGCCCAGTTTTCTGGGTGCTTGTGGATGGCGGCTTTGTGGTTATGTTTGGGGCACCTGACCTTGGAGCAGAGCGAAGTTTACTATCCAAGGACTGAGTTGGAGTCGATTTCTGGGGAGTTGATCTTTGGGGCGATGAAGACCTCGAGACTTTGAAAGGATGGTCCTTCGGAAGAACATCGTACTCGGCTCTCCGCTTTTGTCCAAGGGTAGTGCGCGAGTCAGCCTGCGCCTTCGAGGATGGAGTGGAATTGGGTTTGGAAATCGAAGAAGTAGAGCGCGGCGCAGGATTCCGGGTTGCAGGAGTGGCGGTGGAAGTAATGTCGCCTGT